GACTTAACCTGACGAGCCTGATGAGTTTCTCTGGCGATCAGAGAGGGGACAGTCCGGGCTTACTGCGGTCATCACTTTGGTAGAAAGGAGCCCTGCTATGCAGTGATAGTTCAAGTGAAATTGCAACCTGTCGAGCATATGATTAAAGAAAAGGAAAGTTACCACATGTAATGGGTTGCTACTATCCCTTCTCCCCCATTTGAGTGACTGTGGCCTTGTGAGGGCCTCACAAGGTAAGTGGCCTGGTAGATTGTCAAGCAAACCCCCAGATGGTTGCAGAAATGGACGGGGCTGGCATTCAGAAGGGTGACATGTTAACCACGTTGAAGAGAGGAGCTCTCAGTTATGCATGCAGAGCAAAGTGGGCTTTGTGGGATAAGTAGTGGGGGGTGCGGGAAGGGGTAGGATGAGACCTGTCTGGGATACTTTTATGGGTGAGGGGATATATGGAAGTCATGGGCAATTGCACCTGAATAGGCATGCATGCACCAACTTCTACTAGACTGGGTCCTATCTCCATTCATGTTTTTGATTGATGTTTCCACGTTTTGTGAGATGTTGCCAGAATCTCATAGAGAAGAATGTTCCCTGGCATGTTGCAGGATAATAGGGCAGAGCTGGTGGGGCAGCATGGATGACATCAAGATCTCTGTTCCAACAATGGAGAGGTGTAGGAACATCCATCGCAAGTCGGATAAGAGTGATAAAATCTCTGCAAAGTCTATAAAGAGATACAGTACCATTCAAAAGCTGAGCCTTCCAGTTATTCGGCAGCTGTACCAGCTCATGACAAAGGGAAAACATGCGCTCAATTTCATGTTCTTCGAAATGGACAAGAGGGGACAAAAGAAATACGTGGATGCGCCTGAAGAGACTCTGTCAACCTATCATGAGTCTTTCCTATATGGACGAGTTCCTCTCACTATTAAAGTCCGTGCAGCATTGAGGGCTGGCAAGATTGGCTACACGTTGGCCCTGGTGAGTGGATATATGTGTTAGACTGTTCATGTTTCTCATTTATAAAATGATTATTTCGGGACCACTTGCCAGGCTGGACCACCCAGGCCAATGCAGCCCGCACCCAAATGACCTTATTTTTTTATTTTACTTTTTCTGTCCAATGGTCAAGCATTTCGGTGTGATCCTCGAGCAAAAGTTGTTCAACTGGTGTGGTCTGGTCTGGTCCAGTCCGGTCCGGTCCGGTCGGCTCCGGTCGGGTCGGGTCTGGTCTGGTCTGGTCTGGTCTGGTCTGGTCTGCTCTGCTCTGCTCTGCTCTGCTCTGCTCTGCTCTGCTCTGCTCTGCTCTGTTTTTTTGAAACAAACATACACGACTCCTTCTAGTCTGGGGGGCATCATTCCGATTGCTTATCACCGGCAAGCATAGTTCCACAGCACACAAGGGGGAAACATTGCAGATTCAAGAGCTGCCTTACCCTTGCGGCCCTAGCCACCTGTCCAAGGGGGAGTCTGTCACGGACCAACCCTCTACTCCATCCGGAGCCCTTCTTCGGGGGCTCCCCTGCTGATTGGGAGGCTTACTGGCAGCGCCCAGGCACGCAGCAGGGGAGTGCCAAGAAGGGCAGGGCGTGGGGGAGGGGTGTTCGCCACAGTCTCACAGGCTGTGGCATTCCACGGGTCCCACCTGGGCCCCCATTGGGACCGCCGGTAGGGTTAAGGGTTAGTAGGGGTTCTAGGACCTAGGTTGGGGCCCGCCGTCGTTTTGCCCGTACTAGGCCCCACAGGCTTAGTAGGCCCAGTTAGGCCAGTAGCAGGCTAGGCCAGGCCCTGGCGCCCTTTTCTTTTTGGCGCAAGGCCTCTGTTCGTTTGGGCGCCATTTTTCTGTTGGGCGCCAGAGGCAGACAGCGGCTGATTTTCGCATTGGTGTGGGCGCCAGTTTAGGCGCCAGTCTGAGCAGGACTTGGGACGGACCAGCACTATATATAGCTGGTCCGCCCCTCAGTCGGGAGGTAGTTCGAGGTAGTACTACCAGTAGTTGATGTAGGTAGATGCTGTAGTCGTCACTGCGCTGGGCGCCACGTTAGGATTCAGCACAGAGCTTGGGCGGCAGCATGCTGCCGTGGGAGTTAGGGAGTAGAAAGTACGGGCGGGGGCCAGGGGACTCACCTGATGACTTAACTGTGACGCCATGGCTTCAGCTTCATCTCGGCACATCCTCACCTGCATCAAGGCACCACCTTTACGCAGGTTAGTACCTGGTACCCCGAGCGAGCGAGCGAGAGAGAGAGAGAGAGAGAGAGAGAGAGAGAGAGAGAGAGAGAGAGAGAGAGAGAGAGAGAGAGAGAGAGAGAGAGA